CCCAGAACCTATTGGAAGATAATAGTGTCTAATAGCATCCAATAGTGCCTGATAGTCTCATTGTAGGGTTTTGGCTGCATTGCAAGAATAAACGACAGGTCTCTGAACTGGGAGAGGGTATGTGTGGGGGGGGGGTGTCTGGCTTCGTATGATATATAGGGTTATACAATTATACTAACATTATCTAGGGAATGTTTGGGGACTGTAAGTAGAGGGATTGAATAGGGATTGTAGAGCGAAAAACATCCAAGCAGGACAAGGCTTCAATCACTTGGCGTACCTTCGATGCAAAGCCGGAACTCTTCAGGATCCACCACGGGCACTGGGTGATGGTGACGGATGAACCTCGACATGAAGCTGAAATAAGCTGCACGAAGCCTCCTTATACCATCCTAGGTCATCCTAGACCCCCTTTAGTTCCGTGCGGACCCCTGCCCTAAACTCTGAACCCTTAATCCTAAACACTTAAACCCCTAAAGCCTAAACCCTAAACCCTAAGATTGCTTGTAAGTTTCTCTTGACTTCGGGCAGGTGGCCAGACGGGGTTCGGCGTCAACCAGGAGTCCATCATTAGCTCAGATGGTAGCTCCGCCTGAGTCGCAATCCCATGATGAATTTTATGGAGAAGCTTTCAAGACAGAGGGTCCCTTTTTCCCAGGGCAATCCGAAGCTAAGATAAGATATGGGCATGATATTCTTGCTGGAGGTGGGTTCTGAAACCCTAAGCCTAACTTTTTGCACCCCCAGTCCGGTAAATCTACCCCTTGAAGCCTGCAGGGCCCCAGGCGTTGCAAGGCTTGTTGTTGTGAAAGATCAGACCCGGATGCCGCTCCGGGTCGCTGTCGTAAGGACAGCTGCAGGCCCTCAGAGAGAGCAGCTCAAAGGTTCAGGGCTTCGGACTTAGGGCTTTTAGGGTGCAGTTCGGGATTTGGAGTTTAGGGCATCTCCCCACAGCAACGGATGCTTTCTGGGAGCCCTGCCCCGAGCTCTCTTTGGGCGGATCCGAGAGATCCCCAATCCGCATAGTCTCAAGCAGTTCCAGCGCGTTGCCTTCGGGCTTATGAGGCTTAGGGCTGAGGTGATCTCACGTCCACTGTTCACTCTCAAGACTGGAGTGCCTCTGCCGGTGTGCTGCTGGTAGATGCGCCTGAATTTACCACGTGCGATTATTCTCGTTATGGGCATTATTAGTAATCGTATTTATTGTTGCTACTGTCATTTTATAGGCACTAGCAATATTAAGAATTGTTGTTCGTAATATCTTATAGCTGTTGTCCTTATTATTCGTTATTATGGATGTTATTATCATGGAGACAGGAGCTGAGCAAGCTGCCAAAAAGGATCGATGGCTTTACCGGCTGCCAGCATGATCTTGTCTTTGCCACCAGGGTGGTTTTGCACGAAGCTAGTGATGTCGTAGACGCCGTCCTACAACTTGCTCAGTCCCGATTGCACCCTAAACCCTAAACTCTAAACCCTAAACCCTGAACCCTAAACTCTAAACACTGAATCCTGAACCCTAAACTCCAAACCCTAAACACTGAACCACCTAAACCCTAAACTCTAAACCCCAAATCCTAGGCCCTAAACCCTACACAACCATCCCTAAGCCTCCCCCTCACCCCCTCCCCCCCACCTTGTAGCTAACCCAGATCCCGGATTCGGGCGTCTGGTGCTTCGAGACCTCCTCTGAAGAGAAGAGGGGCCAAGGCTCTGCCTCGCAAGAGCCTGCTGGGTTTCTAGAATAAGGAACTCAAGTTAAGTTACTAGAAAAAGGAATATACCCCATTATTAGCTCTAGGCCCATATTCTAGCAACTGAAGCCCTAAACCCTAAATCCTATATGCCCCCAATATGATAAATTAGATGAAGTTACTTTACAGCAACCCAGCCTGATGCCAGCTGTTGTAGAGCTGCCCGGACCTGCCAAAAGAAGGAGAAGTCTAGGTAAGGATACTGCATGAGGATGAGAACAGGTGAGCACGATCCTGGAATGGGGGGTGTTGGATGCCCCCTCGAGGGAGGAACCCCAAGCCTCTGCCAGGCGCTGATCGGAAAGGCCCCCGCCGCCCCGGTCCTCCACGATGTATACATGCGTCGCGCGCGGTGAGGCCTCCTCCGTGGAGATCCGCGCGTCGCGGATGTTGATCTGCTGCTTTTTCAGCACCTCCGTGGCCTGCGAAGAGAGATGAACGCCACAAGCACCGTGCAGACTGCTGGAGATGGGCATGCCAGCGCAAATGATATACAGAAGCTATACGTATCAGAGACTGGTATATTATAGTATGCATACGGCTATGCATACCTGTGTTTGCATAAATACACGCACACTATGCGACACACACCCTACCTTTGCATGCTGTGTAGCTAGGACTGGTTGGAGCCTCACTGAGAAGCCCGGGCCGGTCGCTGTCCACCCGAAACCGGATGATGCTGCTGCTTCCGCCCGCGGCGCTTGCCTCAGAACTTGCAGTCACTCATCGATGCCCTCTGAAGCCTAAACCCGTTTATTGGGTTTGGAATTTGGGATTTGGGGTTCAGAGTTTGGGGGCCAATGTACGGCACAAGGCTAAGTCTACAGCCACAGCGACAGGCAAAAATAACACTTCTCCACCACATGTGTTTTTCTGAACGCAGTGCCTCGCAGGACGAAATGGTCCTCTGATTTGAGTACCTGACCGAGCAAGTAAACGAGGACAGAATCCTGCCAACGTGCTCTCGCAGTGCTGCGGGGCACTGGCAGGTGAGGACTGCCGCGGCTGCTGCATTTGCTCCCAATATCTGTGGCCGTGCACAGCGTGCCTGTGGCTTGGATTGGCAACGGCTCATGAGAATGCAACGACTAAATTCTTCGTCTTCGCCTAGAGTCAATCCAACATGCTACTGGGTGGTTTCCCTTTCCGTTTCGGCCCGTGGAAGCGTCCTCTCTAAGGTGGTAGTTGCTAAGAAGAAGTAAGTGCCCTCAACAGAACTGCGTGCCAAGGCACCCCATGCGCCCCGCGAAAGCCGGCCCGCACGGTCCTGAGGAAAGCCTGCAATTGCCAAGACTTCCTAAACAATAAGAACCCGCTTTCAGAATTATTCAGGCAACATTGGTCAAATCATACAAACATGCATTCAAGCAAAAAGCCCATCACAAGCAGCCTCATAACCGCGGCGGAAGGCCATGGTCTATTCAAAAGGGTCCTGAATGGTCCTAAGAGCTAAAAGTGGCCTGCGGGTCCATGGCGCCTTCCCACAACCCAGAATGCCAAGTGCACGACGTGAGCATGGACAAGGTGTTGCGTTGAATCTTTTCATGGCATTTGGCAAGGTTGCGGGGTGGCAATCGGAGCAGCGCGCTCCTCTCACTGCACCTCGGCAGTTGTTACATCCAAAGCATGCAAGGGGTTTGGGTGTAGGATTTGGGGTTTGGGTTTAAGGTTTAAGGCTTCATCCAAAGCTAGAGCAGCTTGCACGCGCACGTGCATCACAAGAATCAGCTCTGCGCTATGGTAAGGGGCCTTGGGAACCTTGATCTCAAATACTTTCAGTATCCCCCTGCACAACCTCTATAAGGTTCCCCTGCATAATCCTCGTTTCAAGAGCGCAAATTATGGCACATGTATTCACTCCCTACCTGTAACAACTGCAGATCTGTAACCTTGCTTCCAGAAAGGATTTGGGATCAGCAAGGGCAGCCGCCAGACTAAAGAGGATGCGGGGGTCAGCTGCTCTCCTAGGGCCTCTGAAATGACAACGGACTTTTGTATGGGGCTCCTAAAAAACCGCTTAAAGCATGCTGTTTGCCGCCATAGCTGGCAATGTGGTGACAGATGCAACGTAGCCGTGACCATCATGAGCACTGAGCACTGAGCACCATGAAAGTCGTGGACGTGCTGAAGTTGGCAGACTTGCCTGCAACATCAAGCATGCCCAGCGCCACACAAAGAATGACGTAGCGCATGAGGCTGCAAAACCAGCTCTTTTACCAGAGTGTAGCAACAAGCACATGCTGTGGTGTTGCTGTTTCTTCTGGTGGCTTTAAAGGACAAGGCCTTTTTAGCTGGCAAGCTGCATCGGTGTGAGAACCTAGGTAGGTTTTCCGCGCTAACGCCGCCCCGGCCGGTTCAAACGAATTTCGTTTATCACGCAAGGATTTCACGGTATGAACCACATCCTCGTCAATTTCACGTCCAATTTGTGCGACAGGTGCACGAATTCCATAACACGTGCTTCAAGTGAAAAGAAACACGTCGTCTTCCAGCGTCAGCTACACTTGAATTTGCAACGTGACGTGTTAACGCAGAACACGCCGTGAAATGCCTATACCTAGGTGAGAACAAGGAGATTCACTCACCCTCCCAAAGCGCAAAGCGAGCACCTCGCTCACGAAAGCTCAGGAAATGCTCACGTGCTACCTCCCTCATGGCTGCCCCGGGGACGCGGCCTCTGTTCTCTGGCATCCGCGCCCAACGCCCATTGAAGGTCTGGGTCTTGACGCTCGCAAACGATGGGGCTAGGTTGAGAGCCATCTGCTGCACGTCTGCATCTTGAGTAAAGGCTTCCGCTGCAGACCTTCAGGCACCGTTGGATGGAACATGTGTGGATGCTGGCTATGCGAACATATTTCAACTTGAAACTCCCCAATCAATCTTGAGTATCCGTGCCTTGCAGCAGCTTTCTGGTCTAGCTGCCACTCTCCGTTGAATTCCCTGCCAAGCACATCAGACACCAAACGCGCGGAGAACTCCTCGGAGCCGGCTTCGCCCTGCCGTGTCCAATACGAGTACCAGTAGTCGGTGCCATTCTTGGTGGGAATTCCCTTATAGCGGTCATGAAAACGTTGCACAGCATCAGACGGGTGTAGAACTGTCAAGTCGAGCCCGAGGCCATCTTTCTTCACGGAAGCACGCTGCCTGGACTTTCGAGGCTTGGGAGCTGGACGCCACTCCTGATCCCATTCTTCTTTGACGTCTCCCCACTTCCAGGGTGCAGGATCCACTGTGCCCTGTGTCTCCAGGCCGGTGTCGGCATGTTTTCGCTTACGGGAGTCAGCAGGCTTGTCAGGGGTTACTCCAGCAGCACTGCTTGAACTGGAACTTGCTGTAGTGCTCTGCAGAAGGCTCAATTTTGCGCTGTTGAAAAGCCGGCTGCCCGTCTCACTGGGTCCCACCGAGCAATCCTCATCAGCGCCAGACATCTTCGAAGGCTCGAGGAGCGTACGCTACAGCTTCTTAGAAAGTAGCTGTAATAGACCAAAATTGAATCGCGGGCTGCAAAAGGATGTGCCAGCTAAATCGAAAGCTGCTACACACATATACATATACATATAC